TAGACCCGGGCCCTCGCCCTCGATGCCTTGCACTTAGGCCCCAACGTTTTAACGCTAAGATCCATAATAGGCCAAAACAGTACCAACCACTCCCCAGAGCGACAAGAGTAGTGCTCAGAGTGTTGCTCCTCGATGATTTTGCACCAATAACAGATAACTGTTGGTGGTGCACGATCCGCCAATAGGACGCCTCCACGTCTTGACGGTCCAGACAAAACAAAAGGTACTGTCAGGGACATGCTCCCTCGACGACATGTATAAAAGAGATCCTTCTTCTCTAGAAGAAAGGATCGCCCCTCTCTCTCTGTCTCCATCTAAAATAAAACCATAATTCTTCCATACAGCTACTGACTAGACCGTCAGAGTCTTGTTTCAGGACCCCCTCCCGGAGGACGACTAACTTCAACCCTTTGTTTGCTGTAATTCTCAGGCTTAACCAGACGAAGCAATCCACAAACGACATTAAGCTCGAAGACATATCACAACATTTGGCGCCATCCGAGCATGTACTCGGAGTTACACAACCTTAAAACGACCTTAGATGGAGGCAATGACGGGAAAGGCAGCTGCAACGTCCGTCGGGGGAGAAACGAGCCCACTCAGAACAATACCGTCGCTCGATGGCACACAACCATCTGCATCAGATGGAAAAGCCTCCACCCACACGCCATAAACATATACATCAGGCCTAATAATGGGAACCGCATTGGCAGCAATCGCCGCCCTATGGCGACCGTCGCCCATCACAATAGAGCATCTAGTTACAATCGTGACCGTAGCGCCTCAGTCGACAGCGACACACCGGTCACAACCACTGACCCATAAGTCACAACTGTCGACCCAACAGTCACAACTGTCGACTCAGCCGTCTCAACCGACAATTTCTCAGCTGCAATCGCTACCGCAGCAGGCGGGGACGAACACTTGGTCCCCAGGGACCATACTGTCCTCTACACAATACCCAATGTCAAGCTATCAGTTCTCTCCAATAGTAGGAATCTCGCATATCCCGCTTTTCGCTCAACAAACTCCAATGTTCAACCCCTATTTCCAGCAGTTGCACAGATCCAACCACCAACACCGCCTTTGCAAGAGTACTTGGAACATTTGTTGCAATCAAAGAACCTCTGGGGTCAATTCCAAACATAATCCAACAGCCAGAACAAAGCTCGCAACTGTAGCAAAGTACACAATCGAGCTCTCAGCAACAACCATACATCTTGCAAGCAACAATGTACAACCAAGCATATGGGAACCCGTACTATGCTCAACAATTTAAGATGTACGATGGTTTTCCATACTCTCGCATGGAAAACCCGGTGAGAAGCACCAGTTCTGCCTTTTTCCAGGAGCTATTGCAGTATGAGATCCCACATTCGGCGATGATACCTAGTATCCCCAAGTATGAGAGAACGACTAACCCCGACGAATGCATCGACACCTATGAGTGGACGATGACTTCACTGAGGATGGAAAAGCGGTTCATGTGTACATATTTCCCTGTTACGTTATCCAGAAACGCCGAATAGTGGTTCATGACAATGAAACAAGACATCATCGCGAGTTTCGAACAACTAAGATACTTTTTCCTCAACAATTTCATGCAACTGAGGAATGGGAAGGGAGATGCAAACTCCATAACGACATGAAATCAAAAAGATGGAGATTCGATACATGTATATTACGATAGATTCACGCTGGCGACACTCAACGTCTCGGGCCATGAAGAGTTCCTTGTAATTGGCGCCTTCCCCCAAGGTCTACTCCCTGGCCCTTGGTTAAAGAAAATGCAGGGGACGGTACCTTAGTCGAGAGACAAGCTCAAATACAGAGTTGAGAAATTCCTCTGACAGATCGAAGGTGAGGAATGGAAGGAGGACAACCTAAAGGCCATCACAAACACGTACATCAAGCAAGAGGAAGCAAACTCCCACACATCACCCAAGCACACGGATAACCATAAAAAAAAACCATGACAAAAGACATGAGAAGAACAACCAACACTCAAGACACCCAATTGATGTGAGTTAGAATCGAGAAACGAACACAAAATCAATCAAAGAAAGCAGTACAAACACATGATGTAAATATGATCTGATTGGTTCGTATTAGTCTGAAAAGAGTACAAGGTATTCGAGAGAGTTTACAAACTGATGAGCACAAAAGTTACTCTCGACTCAAGTACATACCCTATTTATAGGGAATAACAAACTCAAAAAAAAGTACAAGGACTATGCATTCTAGCATCGAATACAAAAAGTGCCTTGTAAATACATATAGAGTCGAAATCACTTGGATTGCGAACCCTTACAGACTCAACGTATTTCGACTCCACACTATCTACGTTTCGACCCTATAATCTCCCCCTTAATGAGAGTAGTCGAAACTATGCCATAAGCTTCAAAGTCTGAAGAAGTACATTGCAAACCTCCATATAACAAAAAATTGTCTTTCGAATCTCCGCCTTGTCTTCAAATTCATTCCTCTTTCAGTTGTTAATTCGAACAAGGAGATTGGTATATTGAGCATTCGTATACCTCTCTAAATCACTAACTTGAAACATAAATTTTTTCAACTTCCCATTCTTGTTCTTCCCTCGAAATACAATCCCAAGAGGCCGATGTATTATCTCCCAATCTTCATACTTATCAATATTAATCTTCCCTTTCAACAGAGATTGATGAACTTTTGAAGGCTTATTGACAGCTAAGGCAAGCTCAATATCTGTAATTTCTCGGAAATCATAATAGTTGTCTATGAAAACCTTGATATGAGAAAAACGAATGATGAAATCGTCCTTGTTGGTTTCAGTTAGCTTCGAAACATCCACATTACTTAATATCCTTGTGACAGTAACCAAGTCATTTAAGTTCATCAGTGGGAAATCTGCAATCAAGAACTCACAAACAACATTGTTCGCTCTTAAGACCACATAGCAAAAATTTTGTAGAAGACCTTCAAATAAGTTTTCTCGCATTATAGTCATCATCTTCACAATCTTCATAGATGACCATACTTTTTCTTCGCTTTTCCCAAAGACTGCATGGAAACGTATCTTCAGTCTTTTGAACTCATCTTTATCATTGAAATTTTCAACAATATTGAACTGGGAAGATGTGAACAACATGTGGTTAATTCGGAACTCAAGCTGATTGAAATCAGAATACTCAATATCATAGCTCTTCTTAGGCACCTTGCGAAAGTAGTCATTCAGCCCAATCTAAACAATATCCTCAATTGTTTCGTAACACCACTGCTTGTTGGGATCACCCTTGTTCAAGCCAGGTGGGTCTTTTTCTTTTCACCTCATGATACTGTTGATTTGCCTTTGCTTCTCGATTTCAAGAGCTTGTTGCTTTTTCTTCTCTTCTTCTGAAAGATACACAGAGATAGCTTACCCTTTATTGCTTTGATCATCTTTCGAAGTTGGTGGTACTGAACTTGAACTTGAACCTCCAGCTCCTTCGTTTATTGTGATCCCTTTTGTCAATGGTCTTGTTGTTATTCTTGTAGAAGTTGTGGTCAGCGATATGGGAAGTGAAGTCGGAATTTGAGTTGAACTTACTCTCCTTACAACAACCTCTTTCTCAGAATCTTTTGACGAACCAAATCCTCCACATCCTTTCTTTCCCCCTTGTGACACTTGCACCGCACGTGGATTATTTGTTGGCAATCAAAGAACCAAATCAAGGATGGGAGCAAGCTCTACTTTGATATTGGTCTCAATAGTCAAAATCAATTGAGAAATTGACTCTTGAGAAACTGATGATTGATTCGAAAGATCAGCTTTCGAAATAGACTCCTTGATACTAGATAAAAACTCTTCCAACTTTTCAAACACCTGGGAATCCTTTTCCGACTATGCTTCAAGCTTGTTCGAATAATCAGTGTTGAAATCAACCAACTTTGTGATAACAGTCACAACGACATCAACTTTGCTATGCAACAAGGTGTAATTTTTCTCCGTTTTTTCAACCTCTTTGGACATCTCCGATTTGAGTTCGGCCACTTTCAGATCCAGTGACTCCTTCATTTGCGTCACTTGCTCAACAAAAATTTCATGACGCTCCTTTGCTACGTCATGAAGCTACTGAATCTCATATTCGAAGCTTTTGGAATGAACTGCCAACCTTTCAACTTGTTTCTGCTGAATGCTTTCTACCAAACTTCGAAAGTGATTCTCTTGAGATTTCAAAAAATACTCCATCTTGACCCCGGTCTCAAAATACCTTCACGCGGTATCAGCTTGTGTTTGAAGAAGAGAATTAATTTTGGAGTTGAGGGTTTTGAATTGTTTGCCTGACATAATCATCTCATCAGGAACATTTTCCTTCGCAGGATTGAATTGAAGATCAGCAAATGATACCAGGATTTCATCATCATTTGGTTCTTCATCATGGATCAGTCTCTCAGTTTCAGTAGATTGAGAATAGAACAAAGTGGCGATTGGTTCATGCACGATTGTTGAGTAAGTTGGTGAGACGGTCGAAACTGGAATTGAAGTTCTGATAGGTGATGAAATAGGTGGAAAAGTTGTGAAGGTTTCAACTATAGAAGTTTTGATAGAAAATGAAATGATGGTGGAAGTAGGAATAGTTGATGTTTCAAAAGTAGAAGTAACAAAGGATTCTTTTTTCTGCACCCCTTCACCTATGTTGACGTTTGTGTCCTAATCAGATTAGTCCACAGGGATGTCTGGAGTTCGAACCTCCTTCGTATTGGACTCAGTATGCAAAACCCCGGGTGGTATGACCATAGTATTCTCATGGGTGGATGTTCTTGTTTGATCATTCGAATTGATGTATGTATCCGTATTAGATACGTATACAGTAACATCAGGATCCCCTGTTGCCTCGAATTTCGACTTGAGTGGAGAATCCCTTCGAGGTGATCCAAGCGCAGAATCTTCAATGCGAATATCTGATCGTCCACTATCACTGTCATTATTAGTTTCAACAGTGACTTGGTCATGTGGATCCTGGTGCTTTTTTTTTCTTCTATTACAACTTCTGAGCCATATCCATGGCTTGACGCTTCTTTGAGGCAGGTGAGACAGAAAAAGTTAATTCTCTAAAAGAGACACCTCTCTTGTTGAACTGAGGCTTTCGAATCTTCTTGATACCCTTCGGAGAAGAATGAGTATGTGAAGAGTCGACGTGCGTTTCCTCAGTAGTTTCGATTTCTGGTTCTTGAACAGATTGCCTGAATGGAGAATCACAAGGTTTCTTTGCTGGTTTCTTGGTATGCTTGAGAATGCCTGATTTTGATGGTATAATTTCTTTCGTAACCTCCTCCGCCACATTTGGTGGTTTCTCAGCTTGTTTTTTCTTGTTTGGAACTTTAGAAGCTTTCGAAGAACCCTCAGTCCCTTTCGATGGAAGAACACCAATAGAAACACTAGAGTCAATTGAAGCCAAATATTGTATAAGAAGCAGATTTTTAGGATCATCAGGCCTGAGCATCACATCTGGAATACGAGAAACATTAGGAAATACATTTGGATCATTAACAACAATCCTTGGAGCAGCCATAGTAAAAAACTCAGCAGATTTGACATCAAAAGGAACCAAAATTCCCTCTTGTTGATAGACCTCCTTCAGAATTAGACTCCAAAAACGAGTACACGAAACACCATTAGTCAGATTGGTGTGAGAAATTGTTGTTCCAAATTCCTCCTAGATATGTGTGGCATAATCGACATCTAGAACATAGTACATCCCATTAATAACTGAATAGATTTCCAGTTTAGCTTTGTCTAACCCTTCGACCTGTCAAGCATTGTAACACGATTCCGAAAAGAAAACTCCATATGCAGGGAAGACGCAACTTTTTTAAAGTGACTTATTCCAGTCAAAACTAGTTGATGCCCCATTTAATTGAACAAGTGAAGAACTTGATCAGTAGAAACTTCATAGAAAGTACACGAGACCGGAAATTTCATGATTTGGGAAACCTACTTACTCCTAAGCTTTCTCGTCTTTGAGTTCGTCAATTGAAACGTAACAACCTTCATTGTTTTGTTGAACACCGCAGTGGAACCATCAAGAGAAATCCATGACATTGGAACCACAAATGAAGAAGACAAAGCTGTGGATAGAACGAAGTTATATAGGGTTTGAATCACCATTCGTAATTGCTCTGGATACGGATCAATCATTGGAAACAATAGAAGATTAGTATTCTGAATCTTCATTATAGGCTGTGAGACTTTTTCTTCATTAGTTGTGGTTATTGGATCAACAGTTGTTTGAGGATCATCCATTGCAGTAATTCCATAAGTGTTTGAAGATAACGAACAGTTGGTGATTTTGGGAAATTTGATCTGAGAGCATAAAGTCTGAGAATGAAATCACAAATTACCTTTTATAATCGACGGTATTTTTGAATTTGAACCGGTAACCAATAATAAAATGCCACGTATTCTGTTGGTTACTTAACCGACATCGTAAGAAGCTCCACATCATAAAACTGATCATCACGTTTTCCTTGAGGATATGAAGGAGGCTACTAAGGATATGAGGCATGAAGTAATAATGGTGCTTATATTGGGCCAAAACCGTAAAAATTATGGTTTGGACATGCTTGCGTACGCCCTGCGTACGAGGTGTACGCCCAACGTACTAGGGTCCGCCCTAATATGCTCAACGTACGCTTCGTACACCCAACATACTAACCCAAACCCAAATTAACACAATGCCACTAAGGGCCAATCTTGAAATCTTTTCAACTTCAAGGGGGTCAATACGTAATATTACTCAAATATAGGGTCAAAATGAGAAGTACCTCATCATTGGGATGTTACGATTCTCCCCCACTTGAACTAGCCTTCGTCCTCAAAGTCGGCTGCGGCGAATAACACAGGATAACGTTCCCATATCTCCACCTCGGGCCATTCAGACGGTCCTCCCCGGAACACGATACGAACTAAAATTCGGCTCATTTAGGCGACCAATTTCCCATACTATCCTCAACCCAATCTTAACGAAAATCACACACCTCGACTAATAACGAATGCTTGGCCCGCTAACTTTTACCACTGAAGAAAACCATCACAATTCTCCCACATTTCGGAAATCCAATACCTCGACTGACTCTTAAGCAAGCCAACTATCTCGGAATGTAGCTATTAGGACATCTCTTTACAATCCGAATAATACAGAACCCTTCCGATCCTGACTTACCTTGCTGATACCGCTTGGAATCAGGACTCCTGACCATTCACTGCTGATGAACCCTTCATCGGAAAACAAGGCGACTCCTGACACGAGCCTCAATTAGATAACCACTGAAAACAAATATATACAACCCCAACATATTCCACAACTTCCTAGCTATAGAACCGAACTTATAGTGAGAACCACAGAGCTGGGTACTTACAAAACTACAACCACTTAAACGACCCATCATTCCCGGGACTGGGAACCCATCAGTCCTAAACTTCTAAACCCAAATTCCAGGACTAATATTCATCCATTCACTGGACCTACCCCTTATCTTTGAGTAAGAACACCACCAAACACGCGAAACTAAATACTCAAAACACTCTAACTGCGAATTTTGCCAAATCCCAAACCATAAGTTGTATCAAAGTCTTAAATACACCCTTGTTTCCCTGAGACGTCAATACCAATACACTACTCCTACGAACAAGGATGATCAATCCAATTTTTTTATGTTGCATCCAACCCTTATCAGCTCAGGTGTACCCCCACCTAGAAAATCACTCGAGACATTCAAAATGAACTTCATGACTCGAGACTCCATGACCGATACCCAACCTTGGTAACCAAACCCCTAATAACAGCTCACGAACAACGAGATTTTTAATGCAAACAGTCCGCAAGAGACTTTATGATGCACGACTGATACTCCCAGTAACCCTTAACTACTCACTTTATTCAAAACCGGCTGGTCACCGAGTCTCCCGACTCCCAGGAAAAATGCACTGACATCCACCCATACCAATAAGACTAACGATTTGAGACTTAAGAGTCTCAACCAAATGACTTACCGAGTTTTAAAGATACTCAACCATCAACCCATTGTTTTGTAGAAAACCCATTCAATATTCCTTTCGATGCTAACCAAACACAGCCTAGGGCATATCTTTTTTCGCGTACAATTCCTTGCACAGTATAGGATGCCATCGATGCAAAATCCGACGAAAACATGGTCGCACACGAGCCAAGAATGGGATAAATGGTCGTACTCTTGTTCCAATTCAAAGGCTATATCCCAATTAAGAACCATGCATATGATTCGAACCACGTGCTCCATTGCTATCTTGTCCAACCCACATACACCCCCTCACAACAATATCTAATGAACTTATCCCAACACACACACACTTGGGGAACCCATAACCTTACCCAAAAGCGGCGAAGTACCAGAGTTCAAACGAAATGAAGAACCTCAATCATTAATAGAAGACATCCTTATGAACGATCAGAACAAGATCCCAAATCTTGATTGAGACTGAACAGACCCCATTAATACGCAACTATCTCAATAAAACTTTGAAGGTTATCCATAAATGCTGCTAAAACTCTAGTTGGATCCATCCAAACCAATCCTGCCAGCACGACATGAGAAAAAATTTAGATTCCATGTAGATCTAATGTCCCTACTGGATAACTAAGCAACACTGTCCGAAATTCTAGACTCCCAAAAATCAAGGACATGTTCCAAACTTGAACCGAACTTGACGATAGATCGATGAATCCATTGAACTTTAACTGATACAACTCAAATCTTCCGAATAATCTCCGCTTTGATGATGTATGAAATGACCAATGATTGAGAATGCATTGACACCTAATCTAGTGGACCAAAACAAATGCGGAGCTGAACGTACCCATCTATGAAACTGATTTACCGATCGATAGCTGCCCAATCTAATCTGTAAATAGCAATCGATACAACGAGTTGACAAGTCCCTCAATAACCGATACTCAACCAAAGCGATCCTAGTGCCTCCTCATCTATTTATTGGCATCCCAAAAAGGAACCAATAGCTACAACGATTTCCTTGACCAACTACTTTCTGCTAAGAGACAACTCATGTATCTCTTGAATAAATGCATCCGGTATCCACTTACTCCACACCCCTGACTTGACCAAATCTTGAGCCAAGATTCCACATACCCACACCGTAGATCCCTATGAGCATTCTTCCAACATCACGAACTCAAACAGATTGATGATCCTCCAAGCAGAATACCCAATTTTTCCCCACTTAGGGTTCGAACTACGACCCACTAGTGTTGCAACTCAACCATATCTCAAACTGGCTCAACCAAGAACAAACCATCTATGACCCTTGGATGGTGTAACACACGCAAGACGATTTTCTAGATAAGGACCAAGCAAACCCTAATAGATTCTGATTTTCAGATGAAGACCTCATCAAAATTTCAAATCATAACTATCTTTAACATTAAGGATTTCATGTAAATGCATAAGCAAACACCAACTTACTATCCAAAGAAAATAGACCCTTGATTGCATCTCTAATCATCCATACCACATCAATCCTCATGCACACTCCGACGCTGTCATACTGCCATGAACACCGCGTCCAACTGGCCCCATGATGGGTTTAAATCCTAACTCCGAAAATCACAAGCCTGCTCATTTCTCCTACAAACTCGGAAAAACTGAAAGGACATAATTCTCGTTATAGATAGAGACATTCCAATCTATCAGTCTACCACTTAGGTCCCAGTTGCAATCCTCAATCCGATCATAACAATTGTTTCCTCCTTGAATCTCGCGACTCAAATGCACGACCTCGAGCAAAGCCCTCGATACCTCAAAATCAACAAACTCATCTAGATCTGCACCATTCAACCCAAACTGTCATCGCCACCGAGTCCCAAAACAATTACCAGACCCATCCTCATGTCTGAACAACTATAACCAGAAGATCGACAGATACAGAACCACTGCCACGAATCATGGTATCAAACCATGCTATCCTCCCCGACCGGCCTTTAGAATCCCCATAAATTTTCCTCGATTGGAGTATGGATCCTGTGCTTCCAGTACTACGGGCCTAATACTACCTTCCACACCTATCCATATTTTGCTCGTGACTCATCTCGGGTCCTCTAATACACCTACTCATAATATTACTCCCAATACCCGCTCAATAGCGTAGCAACCTCACTAAAATACTTCATAGGCTTCCCTAGTATTCCCCTACCTCCCCTTCCAAATGACCCCAATTGGTGCTAGTTAACTACTGCATGAATACAATCACATGCAACATACCTTAAATAATCTTAGATTAAAAGATTCAACCCTACCACGGTTAGACTTGATGGATTAGGTGTCTAAGCCCATAAATATAATTGGAATATACTTAAATTGACAGTAGCACAGTCCTTTTGGGTTGCTCTCAAAATTAGCAAAATTGATAGATGATTTTGGAGAAAGAGGTTAATTTATTATTTTATGAATAAATTGGAATAAATGATTTGTTAATATATTATGAGAATAATATATTAATTTGAAAAAATAATATTTAATTAATATTTAATCAGAAATTAATTGGAATTAATTTTGGGATTAAAGGAATTAATTAAAAGTGTAGGGACTAAATTATAATCGTTTAATAGTTGAGCAAGAGGCAATCTAGAACCATCCATATGGTGGGGACGATTTCTTGGAGCTTAAGGGTTCTAGAATAATCCCTAATGGATAATTAGGAAAGTAGATAATTACCCGGTTTAAGTTAATTTTGGATTTGGGCTTATCTAGGGTTTCATGACTACATTATAAATAGGGTTATAACCCAAGAATTTTCGGCCATCACTTCTTTTGAATCACTAGCCGAAATTTGCAACCTCCCTCCTATTTCTCAATCATCTTCCATAGCTAGTGTTGGGTGTGAACCACTAGAGGCGCGACATTTGTGGTGCTTGCTTTCAAGGCTTCAACAACACATTGGTTTCATTGTTATTACTACATAATAATTGAGGTATGATTTTCTTAACCTTAATTGTGTATTTTAATTATATACTAGTGTACTAGGGTTTTCTACTTTGTTGCTCAATATGTATGTTCAGTTAGAGAAAACATAGATCAAATTATTTAGGGTTGCATGCACACATAGGATTGTTTGTTAGGCTCAAAACCCATCAATGGTATCATAGTATAGGTTTATTTTTCTATTGAATTGATACAATGGTGAACTTGAACAAGGAGGAGAAAACAGAATCGTCATTCTAAACGGTACGACATCCAATGAAGCGCCGTGAG